GGCTGTAGCAGCTACCGCTGCTGATGGGGTGTTCAGTGGGCGGGGAGGCCAGGGAGCAGAGATGGGTCTGGGGGGTGCCTGGGGGAGAGGGCACAGTGGGGGTGGGAAGAGGCAGCATAAAGGGGGATTTGGGGAGAGGAGGGCACAGAAGTGGGGCGAGACAAGGGGAGGGGGCGGAGCATCCCTGGGAACACCAGCCCCCAGCGCCTGGGGCTGTATTTAGAGGGCACCCGGCAAACCCGGCGGCAGGGAGTCTGGGCGCTGGATCCCTCCGGCCTGGGCACAGAACAGGTACGTGCCGGACACGGGGAAACGCAGGGGACGGATCCGGGGCAAACCCGGAGCTCTGGGGAGAGGGAGCCACGGCCTGGGCCCTGCCCAAAGCGGGTGACTGGGATTGGGGGGGGCAGGGGAGGTGCCCGGCAGGGGGCAGAGGAGGGAATTTCCCACCCAACAGAGACACTGCAGAGCTGACTCCACCGCCCTGGTGTCTCCCCTTCTGTCCCCCCAGCACTGACCCCTCTGACCCCTGAACCCCCGATCTCCTCCTTCACCCCCTTTCTACTCCACCTGCCCCCCCACATCTCCCACCACTCCCCATTGCCCCAGCGCCCCTGCCCCAGGAATCGTTCCTTCCTGGCCCCACATCCCCATGGTGGCAGGGAGCAGGTGGAGCCCCCCAATTCCATGTGTGCACACCTAGGGGAGAGGGCCTCATTCTCGCCCCCCCCATGACCCTGGCACACGCACACAGAGAGGGCCTGTGGGAGAAGGACTCCGTTAAACCTTGGCCCCCTCTGAGAGAGGGACTCAGAGCCACCCCCATCCTGGAGCAGACACAGGTCGGGGGCTCAGGGCCGCGTATCTCAGGGGCCGAGGGAGGGGTCCCTCTGCTCTGCCCCTGGTCTCCTTCCCAGTGTCCTGTCTCTCCCCACATCCCAACCGGCAGAGCAGGGTCCAGGCAACACACATCCATGGGGCGACCCCGCGCCCGCACACACTGGCTCCCCAGCAAGTTTTTGGCTTTCAGTAGAACCCAGGAGGCCTGGCTCCCGGCCCCTGTGACCATGTGGGTGAGAGTCACCCTGACGTTGTCCAGTGGGGCCACAGTGCAAGGGACGGGTGTTGAGACGTGTCGGGATTCTCATGTGAACACACAAAACCCAGCCACAACCACGGCCGGCTGCCTGCAGCGACTCTGGCGCACACTGGGCTCCGTGGGGTACAAGTGGGCTCCGTGGGTGTCTAGGGAAAGCTTGTGCGTTGCTGCGTCTGTCTGTCCTGCTCCCCTGCCTGTGGGCTGTGTGCGGAGGGGAGGCGTGTCGGCTCCGTGCTGGGATCGCAGGGGTTTGCTTCTGGGAGACACAACAGGCGTCCCCACCGAGGGTGGCAGGGCCGATGGGCCGGCGAGTCGAGGCTCTGGGCGGGCCGTGGACGTTCGGGGGGGCCCATCCCCAGCTGAGGAGTTTTGCTGTGACTCTGCAGAGTCTGAGCCACGGCTGCCGGGCGGAGTCACGCCTGGACAAGGGACTTGCTCCTGTGACAAACAACACAAGAGCCACGGGATTCCCACCACGTGGGCAAGGGGAGAAAACGGCCCCTGGAGATTCCTCCATTTGGGCTTCGCTCCGGCTCCTCCCTGCAAGAGCATCTCTGCTAGGAACTGAGCCGGGCAGGACTGACGGCCCCTCCCAGCACAGGGCGTGTCCCGGAGACTTGTGATAGCAGAATATCCCATCCCGGCGACACGCCTGCGCCAGGATCCCTGCATTGCTGGGGGGATGGAAATCGAGTCCTTCACTGATTTCACTCTCGGCCTCTTCTCTCTTTTCCTCCTAACCCTTCCATGTTGGATGCTAGAGGACGGGCCGGGCGGGTTGGGTTGCATAAAATCTGGGGTATAAATTGACCGGGGACTGTGGCTGCTCCGTTGCGTTGGGAGAACCTGTCTGGATCTGGGGAGACTGGGTTTCCTAACTTTCATCTGTGCCAGGTGCGCTGCGGGTTGTGGTACTGGAGAAGCCGGAGTGTCTAAGACACGGGTGGCCAACCTGCGGCTCGTGAGCCACGTGCAGCTCTTAAAAGAAAACATGGAGGCTCCCGCACTCGCACCCACAGTCGCGGCTCTGGAAGGACTTGCATGTTTCTCTCTGAAGGAGACGGAGCTTCCAAACGGCTGACTTAAAAGGGCAATGGCTGCTTTACTCTTAAAAGGGCAAACTGGGTTTTTTTTCTTTTTTGCTTGACCAAACGGCACCTGGGGCTTTTTTTTTTCCTCAACACATTTCTTCCCTTGGCTCTTTGCACTGTATCCAGGAGCGGCCCGAGGCGAGCTGTGGCAGCTGGCGCATCAGGCGGAACGCACAATCGGCGCCCCCACCTGCACGGCCGTCAAGGGATTGACCTCATAAATGGGCGCACTGTGCGCCCCGTGACATCATCATTGGGTGCACTGTGCGCCCCGTGACATCATAAGTGGGTGCACTGTGCGCCCCGTGACATCATCATTGGGTGCACTGTGCGCCCCGTGACATCATAAGTGGGTGCACTGTGTGCCCCGTGACATCATCATTGGGTGCACTGTGCGCCCCGTGACATCATAATTGGGTGCACTGTGCACCCCGTGACATCATCATTGGGTGCACTGTGCGCCCCGTGACATCATAAGTGGGTGCACTGTGCGCCCCGTGACATCATCATTGGGTGCACTGTGCGCCCCGTGACATCATAAGTGGGTGCACTGTGCGCCCCGTGACATCATCATTGGGTGCACTGTGCGCCCCGTGACATCATCATTGGGTGCACTGTGCGCCCCGTGACATCATAAGTGGGTGCACTGTGTGCCCCGTGACATCATCATTGGGTGCACTGTGCAAGGAATCCATAGTTCCAGCCCCATCCTGCACTTGCTCTTGTCCTCACCTCCCTCTCAGGGCGGGAAGAGGACCCAGGAGTGTGGGTGCCCAGTTTCCCCCCCTCGCCCGTCGTACCCCACGGCAGACGTCCAAAGGGACCAGGATGATCAGGATCTGGCCCCAGGCACCTTCCCGCTGG